ACTAGTTTAGTTTAGAGCTTTTTTTCTTCTTTTGAGTAGATTTTTGCTATAGATACATATATTATTAGGATAGAGTTAGATACAGAGATTCTTTATTTTATAATATATAATTTTTTAAAACCTAATACAGGCTTATAGTTGTGACCTGTTAATATTTTTTTTCTTTTTTCTTCTACCTTTTTCATCTTTGTTATTGTATTTAGTATTAGTTTTTGTTCTTTTTTACTCCCTTTTAATATTAGTATTAGTGTTAGTATTTTTTAATTTTTCTATTTCTCTACAAGAAGATATCATCAGATTGGTGATGTTCTATTGTAGGTGGTAGTCTAACAGTACCTTTCTGAGATAGATAGAATTTTTTATTAGAAACTTATCAGGATATATTTAAATAGATATATCTACTCAATGTGGCTAGTTGCTTGTAAGTGCTCTTATATGGTTAATATATTAAAATAACTGTGGGATATCAAATCCAGATATTAGTAGTTGTCTTATGCTTTATCTGATATTTTAGACTATAATAAAGGAATTCTGGCAAGATAGCCAAAGTAGAAAAAAATAATAATAATAATACAAATTTGCTTGTATATCTTATTTATTATATTATAATATAAGCTTTCTTATTATATTATAATAAATAATATTGATTTTTTAAAAAAATATATCAAATTTTTTACTTTTGTTAAAATAAATAAAAAATTTAAAAATAACAAAAAATTTATTTTATATTTGTAAATAACTAAGATAAAAAAGTATTTTTAGTTGTTTTTATAGTATTAAAAGCTTTTAATAATTAAATTAAAAAATTTTTACTACTATTATTATCAAATAACTTTTCTGGCTTAGATACCAAATATGCAAAGAAGTTCACTAAAATATTTTTTTTTTATAATTTGGCTGCCTGCTGTTATTTATTGAGATTTTAGCTATATTGATCTATCAAACCTATGGTACACCAAGCTAATGTCTGATATGACCTACCTCAGTAGTCATTAGCCTCAATCTGGTCCTTACCAATAAAGACTTTTTTCCCTTCAATCCTCTGCTAGCAACTATAAGCCACTTGGCTTTTCTTTTTAGTAATAAGAACACATACACAAATTAAAGGGTAAAATAAAACAAAATAAAATAGACACAGCAATAAAGTCTAACCTAATTAAAACAAACAAAAACCAAAAACAAAAACAAGAAAAAACAAAATAAAAGAAAAGAAACAAAGGACAGCACTATTAAGTCCATGCCGAACTATAAAAATTATATAGTACTACTAAAAACTAGTCTAAACTCTATGCTAGTTATTTATGCCTATATTAGAATATAAAATATCTATTCTTGAGTAGAGATCTAAGTTCAAAATTTCTCGTGTAGTCCCAATAAGTCTACATCCAAAATTTTGCAACATATTCATACTCTTCTGTTTCTGAAAAAAGTTAATGTACTAGAGCATTTAGTGTAAACACTGCAATCTCTTGAGGCAATACGATCATACATTATTTATCCCAAAGTAGGTACATACTTCTATACATGACTTTTCTTTTTTGGCAGCAATTGTTGTTATCGATCTTTTGATGGGAGTCTGCCTGATTTCCTACTTTTTGGTAAAATTTCGTAAAGAGCAAAGAGTAGAGTGTTGTAAAGGGTTTTGGTTTGCAGATAGCCAAAACTTCAATAGAGAGTATATTGAAAACTCGCTTGTTGTTCTCGTTTAGGCCAACTATCTTTCACTTTGTTAGCAGAAGCTATACTTCTATTAAATTTTTTGTACAAAGGTGCTACTTCCTGCCAGTTATTTTGTACAAGAATGCTTTTATCTTGCTTGCTAAATATACAAAGGAGTCTAAGGAATCAAGAAAGCCCTTGACCTCTGTAAAAACTATTACTTAATAGTCGTCTCTTCTACTTTTTCTCCAACAAGTTTCTGTTTTCATTTAATGTAAGTTTTGTATGAGTGATCATTAGAGAGAGTTGGTCAATTTTTTAATATTTTATATATTATATTTTTTGTTAATAACAATACTATAACAGAACTTAAGTATTTTAAAATATTTAAATCTTGAATTTTTAATTTGCTATTGGTACAGTCTTAGTTAAAGTAATTATTAAAAAAGTTAATTAATTTGTATTCTAATATATTGAATAAAATATATATATATATCATCACAAAGTTAAAAAAATGTTTAGCTTATATTAACCTAATGATAAATATTAAATAAATATTTATAAATTATATTTATTAAGCATTTAATGTTTTAAAAATTGAGTTATATAATTTAGCGCATATGCGTTGTAATGCACCCACCTGATTGACCAATCAGATCGTAAGATCAGGTGTAACGTGAAATCGAAAAAAATAGTGATATTTTGAAAAAATCGCTTGTAACTCATAATTTTGCTTATGAAATCATCTTTTGCATTCTAACAAAAAAAATTCCTTGCAAAATTTTGGGTATAACTAGCATTTATCTAAAATCTAACCTAACCATAAATTAGTGCTAACCCTTACCCTAAATCAATGCGTCATTAGTTTGTTTTGATTTCATGTTACTCCAGATCTTATGGGTGTGCAAGAACGCATCTGCACAAAATAATATAATTCTTAAAAATATTTATTTATATTTAAAATAAGTATTTATTTAATATTATAATATACTACAAATTAAATATTAATTTTAATTATTATATAAGTATTTTTTATATATATTATAATATAAAGTAAGTATTAATTTTAAATATTTTACAAATATTTTTTTTAATATATATAAATAAATTATTTGAATTTAATATTTTTTAAGTATTAAATAATTGATATTAAACAAATATTTAATTTTAATATTCTATAAATATTTATTTAATATATACAATACTCTTATTATAATTTAATATTTATTAATTACTAACATAATTAAATATATTTATATTTTGCATCTATTAATATACTATTCTTTCACAAATCAAAATACTTATTATATAACAATGCTTTACAAATACAAAATTGTTTTATATGATATACAATCATTCTCCCATATAATCACCCAGTTTGTCCAACACTTTTTGGTAATTATATAGAAGGGTGATTAAATAGAATTACTTCTATATAATCACACAATATACAATAATATATATAATATAATTTTAAAAAGGTAAATAAGTAAAATTATTTGGCAGCTTGCTATTATAACACTTGCCAAATAATTATAAAGTATTTACATATAATAATAAACTAGTACATTAATTTAAAATGTCTTTTTCAAAAATTTATTTAAATTACTCAAAATATTATCTATATGCATCCCGAAATAACATGCACCAACCTTTTTTGTAATTTAATTAAAAAGTATCTAAGCAACATTTTGTCTTGAATTAATCACAGGTGTATATTAATTGATTAGTTGATACATTGTCATGATTTATTATATAATTTTGTTTTATGCAGAGTGATGGTTGAAAAGTAAAGCAGTCACATATTCGAAGCCACTACATTCTACATGAAAGTCTCGCATAGTGCAAATCTATTAAGGGAAGTTTGAAGATCATATACAAACATGTAGTATTATATGTCAACAGTAGACAAGGGAAACAAGAGACCAAAGTCACAAGGAAGATGTAAGATATATTTAAACAAGAGAATAAAAACTTGTAGCCAAGTGGCATTAAACCCAAATGATCGAAGGTTTCGCCCCATCCACCTACCCAAAAACAGAAGTCCATATGATCTTACCATCTCTCTACCTGCGTATGTTTTTAATTTCTCACTGGCTATTCAATCCTATAGCAACTCCCAGCGCAATATTTATTGCATTCTTTCAGGATGTCATTGCCATTCTGACCAACCACTCGCTTTATGATCATGTACTAATCTCCACTTAATTGCTTCAATAAAATCATCTCTGGCCTAAAATAACTTGCTAGCATAGCCCAACAGTTAATGTATAATATAATGCTTTTCATGACTTATCATATATTTTCATTTATATTTTCGATGTAATGACATAGTATTTGCGATTAGTAACTGTTAGAATATTACTGCTAGCCCAAATTTGTTAGTTTTTCCAGTAATTAATTTGGCTGTCTGCTTAGAAGTTATAATTTGATGATGATAGTCATTATTTATTTGTTTTAGAGAAATTATGGTCTGTTGGAACAATGTTTGTAATTTGAATTTTTGAAGTGGAAGTAGCCTATCGGAATGACCATTGAATCGCAAATTTTTATTAGAAGTTTAAAAAAAAAACTATTATTAAAAAATTATTTAGCTAAGAGAAAAAGAATAATAACATAGCCACCTATTTAATACAGATTTCTATTCAACAATTAAACTTAAGATAAAATATTTTTCAAATTTATTTTACTAAATAAACCCAATATTTAAATTTATATACACAAATAATCTAAAGACTAAAAAAATGGGTTAACTGATATAAAAAAAAATACCATAAAACTTATACAACATTGAATATTTTATTAAAATACTGTCTTCTATTATTAATCTGCTAAATCAAATACTAAAGGAACATTAAAAAGTTTCAAAATACTAATTCACTTCATAATATTAGCACAATAATGTTATGCTATTAATGATTTAAAGAAAGCACAATAATTTTATATCATTGATAGTTTATGGGAGTATATAATTTTATGCCATTGATGGTTTATAAGAAGCACAATAATTTTATGCCATTGATGGTTAAGAAGGAAAGAAATTCATCTAGTGACAGTAGTCAAGAATTTTGAAAAGTTTGAAATAAAAACATGTGCAGTAAAATACAGATCTGATAATTAAAATCAAATTTAAAAACTCAATAGCCAGGATTTACCTTGACAGTTTTCAAATTTTCTAAAAAAAAAAAAACCTGCTAACAGGCAAAAAAAAAAAAAAAAAAACCAATAATCCTGTTATTGATCATAAACAGGGGAAAAAAAATCCGTGATGGACTTTTGTTTTAACGATTCAATATATTTTCTTTTGATTAATGGTAGGTGTTTTCTAAAAACTTTAAAATCCTCTATATTAAAGTCGCGACTCTCTTGTTGCTCAAAAAAACTAATGAACTTTGTTAGTCTATTTAAATCTTCTGTAATAGAGATTTCAGGCAGTTCCTTGTCAGTATTGTTTGCATCACCTTCTTTGAATTCCTGTTGTTCATCCAACACATATTAACAATTTTCTCTTCATTGAGAAGATCTTCAGTAAGTATTTGAGAATCATTCATGTTGTTGAAATGATTTAGTTGGCATTCGATTGTTGAATCTGACAAATTTGTTGTTAGGTCTATGATTAATTCATCAACTTTATCTTTTTTTACATCTTCTAGGTCTTGAACAGCATAAGTAGAATTGTCAATTTCAGTATCCAATAATAAGAGAAGAATTCTTATTTTTTTCAACAATTCACGATAGTTGATTCTTCATCTTCATCCCATGATTCTGTGATATAATCAGAGTTGTTAAATTGACCAATTTGACCAATTTGACCAATTTTTTAACTATTATTAAAAATTTTCTAATTGTTATTAAATTTTATTTTTAGTTAAATTTTATTTTATAATTTTTATAATAATTTATTAAAATTAAGTTTAAATAATATTAATCTTTAAATAAAAAAAATTTTAATAATAGCTAAAAAATTGGTCAAATTGGTCAAATTGGTCTATTTAACAACTCTGGATATAATATATCGCATCTCTAATATTTAATTTATTTCTGCACAAAATAAAAAGAGTATCAGTAAAATTTTTTAACTTTATAGAACCAATTGAATTAAAATTAAAAATCTGGGTATGCAAATGATCCATTCAAGAGTAGATCGTATGAATTAACCCAAGAACAAACTACAGCTTATTTTAAATAACTTTCTATAATAAATACAAAGTGCGTATGCACTTTAAAAATTTCTACACTATAGCTGTGCAACAAACCCTGCACTGTGTAACAAACTCTGCTTCTGTTACTGTATACACCAACTTATGCAATTATGAATTTTATAAAAAAGGCAAATATGATATAATATTTATTTTGATTAACTATTTGCTGCTATATACTGTACCCGCACAATATGACAAATAAAAGATAATTTTTTAAATATCATATATATATGTGATGCATAATGTACATGATTTTGATTTATGTTATCTGTTGTATAAAAAATCGCATTACATTGGGTACAGTATGTAGAGGCAATCAGATATTTTCTTACTTTCTTAAATCTTTATCTTTTTCGAACTGATTTAATACATGCTGTATATATTTTTTTTTATATTTATCTTTAAAGCTATTAATAACCCCTGTGTCCATTGACTGAAGGTGAGCCGTAGTTTTGGGTAGTAAAAATTTAATTCAGATATTTGTTAAATGAATATCAGAAGGACTTGGAATAATATAGGGACAACCAGTATCATGATGGCCTTTGCTGCGTTCACGCTCACGTTCACGTCCACGTCCATGTTCACGCCCATGATCATGACTATGACCACAACCATGATCGCGACTGTGACCACAAAGAGAATCTCACCCTTTGCTTATTAATACTATCAGTACTTAATCTCGGATGACCATGTTGAGTATGCAGGGTTTTAGATGAGCTTGCATGGGTTTCTTCATCTAACACTTCACTTTCTGTTTTTTCGTCTTCTTCACCTTTACTTTCTGATTCTTTATTACTTGATTCTTCATTACTTGATTCTTTATTATTTTCTTCTTCACTCAATTCTTCATTAGAATTATAATGGCTCTTTGCACCATCAACTAATAACAAAATTTGCCAGTTTGCCAAATGAAACTTTTCATCAAGTTTTGTGAGCCATTCACAGAATATTTCGGTTCTCATCCAAGCTGTTAAATTTGCATAATATGTTACTGGCAAGGCATTATAATTTAAGTGAACTAAAGCCTTAGATTCTATAGATGATCCAATACTATTATTTGTAATTTTTCAGTTCCAGTCGCATTTGCTATTAGCATAACCATAATACATGCATAATCCTAAAGACAAATTATGACTAAAATTAATAACAATAAACTAAATAAATCTACTGAGCTGTATTTATACTTGCTACTCAAACCCCAAGCTATTAAAGTTTGGGTTTTTTAGACTTGTAGGCAGATTGTCGTAATTTCCATAATTTGCCATAACTCATAGTTATGGCAAGTTGTGTCAATCTGTCTGCACCTTTAGTTTGTTTATTTGCAAATTTCAAACTGGCCAAATCAATATATCAAAAACCTTATTAACAATCTTTATTTAAGCAAATAGTATACAAAATATAAGGTCTTTTTTTTTATTAATGGCAATTATTTTAGAGTTGGAGATTTTATAAAGGCATTGCCGGCAAGTATAAAACAAATTATAAAAAACCTTTTTTTATCCTGATTGTGGTTTTGATATGAGTGTTTGATGTGGTACCATTCTAAAATATAGCCCAGTTTCATCTGCGTTGAAAATGTTATTTAGAGGATATTTTTCAATTATTTCACGTAACTTAGCTTTTTGTTCTGAAAATAATTCCAATAGTGTACTATTGGCCTCTCCATGTAACTGATAGTTTCGCAAATTATTCCTCTTCTTAAACTTATGAACCAACTATTAAAAAATTTTAATGCATTGTCTGGTAAGGCTAGTGTGTGGGCAAAATAAATTGCCTTTTCTTTAATAATTTCTTTTGTCAAAAAGATTTGGCTATCTACAACCTGCTCAACTCACAACTGCATAGCTTTATCTAACAAAGAAAATTTAACTCTTTTATAACAAAACATATCTATGTTAGCTTCATTATTAGTAACTGCCAACCATTTTTCTTTTTTTTAAAAAATCTTCGAAATGGTCGAATATTCAAGATTTAATATTAAATTTTTTTGATTAAAATATTGCATGATGTTTAAATGTGTTTTATTTGGATTATTATTGCTATATTCACAGATTTCACATTTTAAACAGCTACTAATAGCCATTCTTGCTCTTTTTCTTGACATGTCTGCCTTTTAGAAAAATTTTTATTTATGATAAAATAATGAAACATTATTTATAGTAAAATTTTATCCACACAAATTTTGCTTACAGCAAAAATTGAACACGATTAAATCTGACCATAAATTTAATTCATGATGAAGCTTGATTTATGGTGAAACTTGACTTATAGTAAGTCTTGACCATGGCAAAATCTGTTATAATGATAAATAAAACTCGATAAAAATACAACCAAAATTAAGAAATCTATTAAATCATGAGAAGCAACACAACTCTGGATATGATTGCCAAAAGGAGTGTGGCATAAGAAGATCAAAAATAAATATGAATAATAATACTAATGCATACATTTAGTATAAAGAATTGAGTACGTATTTGAATATATTAAAAACAGAAAAAGCCAAATATTAGATACAACAAAACTGGTTCACTAGTACTTAAAAAAAATTCTTGCAGCCCTAACCTACTCCAAAAAACATAAAGCATGTGGTTCTTTTATTTCTCTATTTGGCTACTTTTAGCAGATAGAGAATAGCCCTACTGGTTAATCCTATAACAAATAAAGTTATGATGATAATTGTGACTTTTCTTCTATTTTGGGTAACTTGATTAATTACTTGCTTTTCTATAATGTATTTTGCTAACCATAAATTTAATACCGTAAAACATTACCTTTGGTCTAAGTACGTATCTGCCACATAATGCTGTCGTGGCTCTTGATAACTACGAATTTAGCATGTAACCAAATAAAATTGACTAGTAATGTCTTAAATATGGAGATAAGAATTTATTAACTGTTACTGGTATTTTACTTAAAACAAGAAAGAAAGTAATTTTTTATTTTTCACTTATATTCAATATTTGACTCTAATTTGTTACATCACTTACATCACTAACTTTTCATTAATTACTCATACAATCACTGATTATTATATCGATTTTATGCTTTTATCACAGATTACCTTCTGATTGATATGACTAATTAATAACCCACAACAATGATCAAACTACATGATTACGAAACCACAAATTTGAACACAAAACCAATCTGAATGCGATAAGTATTTAATATATTTTTTTGTATTTTTTTTTTACTACTAATTTTTCTTTTCAATTCAGGTTCTCTTCAGATCTTTAATTTGACTATCTGGATTGATCCTTAAATCTGGATAAATTTAGATATTCAGATTAGAGATTTTACTCAAATTGGTCAAAGAGCTTAAATAACAGACATATGAATAGCCTATCAAAGATAAGATCAGAATACTACTTCAACTACTATACCACATACAACGTATTTTAAATTACAAACAAAAAATTATTTTATCATTATAGAGGTTCTATAAATGGTTAAAATTTTGTCATACAATAGTAACTACTAATTTAAAATTTTTTTATAATTTTTTATTAGCCAATCACAATTATGCATTTATAATCAATAAAAAAATTGTGATTATAAGGAAGTATTTTTTTTAATAAATTGGGTTAAAAAATGTTTAAAAAAATGTGATAGTGATAGTACTATTGATGTGATTATATAAAAGTATTTTTAATATTAAAAAAAATAACCGTACAAAATTATGTAATTATATAGAGTTTGTGATTATGTGGGAGGTGATTGTATAGAGGGATGACTGTAGTTAATACAATTAATGAATTGACTTTAATATACTAATTAAAATATTAAAAATAAAATTTTGCAAATAATCTATTGATATAGCCTATAATTGTAACGCCCTAGCTTTAAACTTTTATCTTTATGCACTTTTAGTTTATTTACAAAATTCAATTTCCTTTTTTGGTTTGTTACTTGTGTAAAATCGCATTAAAGCACCTGCTTCTAAAGGTTAATAGATATGTGAACTAGAGTTAGACATCTTTAGCTCTCTCACAAAAAATTGTTTACCCCTGTAATTTTGAACAATAAATTTCAGGATCAGACGTAATGTAAAAATCGAAACAAACCTATTTTTCTACAAAAAAACAAGAATAACTCTAAATTTTAATTAGGAAACCACCTTCTGCGGCCTAATTAAAAATGTTCTTCATGAGATTTTACTAGTAAGTATTATACTATTTTAATCCTAACCCTAATTATAATGTAGTTTTCTTAGTTTAATTTTGTACATAGCTTTTTTTACTTTAAAAACAAAATATGTTTGTTTTGACACCTGATCTTAAATTTTGATTGATTAAAATTACTGGAGATGAACAATTTTTTGTGAGAACACTATCTAAAATCTAGAGTTAATACTTGGATTCAGATTTAATCACTAAATCCAGATTTAATTGTTACAGCTGTTTTCATTATTCTTGAAACACCTATAAAAAAATTAGCTGAAAAATTTTTCAGCCATTAATTTTTTTGGTATAATAAATTCAATAAAAATTATATTTTTAAATTCATTCAATTTTAATTTACTGTAATATTGATATAATATCTAAGTTATAAATTAACTATATTTTTGAATTCGTTCAATTTTTATTTACTATAAATTGATATAATATCTATGTCTAAATTACATTATTGTTTCAATTTCAAAAATTACTATAATAAATATAATACCTGAACTACAAATAATTTTATTATTATAATGTAGTAATGTCAACATTACTAAAATTTCAGTTGAATGCTTGCTAGTATGTTTAGTATATTTAATTTGTGTGAAAGTTTATAGAAAAGATTGTTCTTGTCAACCAATAAAACTTGACAAGAAATCTAAAAAAGGTTCCAGATATCAAATTATAGTAAATATTTTACATGAATAGGTGCTAGTATTAAAAAAGTTAGATACAATCAAGAATTTGTTGATTGGACTAAAAATTTAACTAAAGTTAAGATTTCAATAAATCAAGACTTAATTAATATATGTCAAAAATATGCTAAAAATTATGATCAACACAATCAAAGCAAACAGTAGATCTAACAATTAGAATCTTTATCATCTATAGCAAATACTTTTGAGTTATCTGATTTGTATAAAGTGACTACAATTGATTCAGAAATTATAGTAAAAAAAATCCTAAATTGAATATTATTAACATGAAGAAACCTAAATTAGAAACTATTAATACAAAGGAACCTAAATCAGAAGCTATTAATATGAGAGAACCTTTTAAAAGTAAGATATAATATATACAAAATATTTAAATATTTATTTGATAAGTATAAATATATAAAATAT